AACTTAATTTTGCAAATATCGCTTTCTTCGCATTTATGCCGAATATAATCCAATTCAGCAGCAAAATCACCAAATATTTAAGAGGACTCGGTATCTTTTGAATGATTTTTTTTTTATTTAAGAACATTCATCTACTTTTTATGTATTTTAATTAAAGAGTTTAATGTAAAGAGTTTTGATGAAGCATAGGGAAGTTGACTGATAATTCACATATAAATATTTGCTAAGCTGAATATATACATAAACCTCCCTGCTAAAAATGCCCCATAGAAACCAGTAAAACTTTTATGGGTACCCATAGATATTATGCGTTTTATTGACTTTTACTAGTTTCTGTGGTCTGTGGGTTTTTTTTTACTGGTTTCAAAATGACCCATAAAACCAATAAAACTTTCTACTGGTACCTATAGAATTTTTGATGGTCTCTACTTGAACTTTTACTGGTTCTATTGATCTCTGTGGGTTTTTCTTACTGGTATCAATTGACCCATACAACCAACATTCAATGGCAGAACTTTGTACTGGTTTGTATAGGTTTATATTGACTTTTACTGGTTTTCTTACTGGTATCAATATAATAATAAATATTCTGTTGGTTTATATGGGTTTATGCTATTTTTTTATCTGACGTTAATAGACTTCTTGTAAACAATAAAATTAACAGAATGAAAATATGATCTCTTTAAACCATCAAAGTACCTGGAAACGCAGGTGGTCGTTTTAGAGAGGGTTTTTTACTAAATATGCTTATTTATTTGGTTTAAAATTTTTTGTTCGGGAACAATAACAGTAATCATAAGCGCCACGTACAATGAGGTCTCTCAAAGGCGACCAACCGCAAATAAAAATGCATCTTTGCAAGTGGTCGCCTTAGAGAAGTGATGCTGAATACAAATATATACTCACGTTCTCAGAAATACATTTATCTTTTAGAGGTGGTCGTCTTTGGAAGGTTGCATCTACGGAACGAATTGATATGTATTAATCGTTATTTTTTTTTTAAGCTTAAGTTGTTTTGTGAATGGTCGCCTTACAGAGGGAATATTCAATACCAAAGTATACTTATGTTTTCAGAAATACTGGTCTCTTTCAGAGGTGGTCGTCTTAGGGAGGTGTTTTTTGCTACGAGTTGGTTCTCTGAATTCACACACATAAAGTTTAAAAGCGAAAAAAATGTTTTTCCTAACTTCACTTTGTATCCAAATAAATCTGTTTGGACATATAAACAGAGTTGTTGATAGTTGCAGTCATACTTAATTACATTTCTCTTTTCTTACACTGATTTTTAATAGGTTACTGAAATAATTAAGAAGTAAACAAAATTAAACACTGAGGAGGTGTGGCATTTAAAGAGCAGTGAAAACTTTTAAAAGGCATTTTATACGATTAAATCTTCAGATCATTTCAAAATTTCTCTTCAGTATAGTGAGGTATTTTTTTAGCTAAAAAATGACAAATCGGTACTGTCATCGATTTGGGAATACCAAGTCCCATTACGAACATCATATTTTTAGAATTCCCTATAAAGCGTTAGAGGGTTGCCATACGTATTTTCATATTCACTATATTATTTCTTTAAAAACAAGCCACTTAAAATAGTTATCATAGAACAGAAAACATATGTAATGATTTTAGTGAATCTAGCCAGTATAATTTAATAAAAATATTGAATATTTCTAATTAGACACCTCATATTAATACATGTTTATTTAAATCAATCACATTAAAAAATATAAAAAATCTGATGTGTACACCACATGACTTCCCTTGTATTGGAATATTAAATTATACGCATTTTTTCTTGCATTTCATTTAAACTTATTGGATTGAATTAAATCTACTTCGCCGACAGCGCATAAACCACAATAGAATAAAAAAAAAATGCATTCTTTAAAATTAACTCTAGTATTTGTTTACCATAGCGACACTCTGGCGCTAGGTTCACTTAACAGTATTAATAATTATATAACAGTTAACTTATATAATAATTATATAACGGAAACTAAGTTAACTGTTATATAATCCAATAATTATATAACAGTTAACTCATATATTTCGTTCATATTATAACTCATAATGCACAAAATTTATATCATTTAAAGAATAGAATTATCTAATCGTTGCCACATGTTCTATTCAAATACTATAATAAAGCTAGAATGATGTATAAAAGAAATTAAGCAAAAAAAAAAAAAAAAAGAAACAGTTTTTCACAGACGATTGAGTGTTTCTCATTTAATTAATTCAGTTCTCACTTCGCGAGAAGGCAAAAATACATAAAAACTCAAAATATCTATATTAAAAATTACGAAGTAAATTCTTAAACGCTTATTTCCTCGAAAAAATTCCAGAAAGGATTAAGCGTGATTTAATTCGCAATAATAAATGAAGGCGTTATCTTTGTTGTTGCGAAGCTAACTTTCTCTAGATATCCAACAAATCCACTAGTCTCCTGTTTCAAATGTAAATATCAATGGCCGCCATTAAAAACAGCTTAGCGGCAATTAAACAACTTTAAAATTGCTGATAATTCTAAAAATATTGCACACAGATTTACTAAAGGCATAAAATCCTTAACCGGAAGATAAAAAGAACATAATTCAATCATTTTTAAAGCAAAAAATGTACAATTTACAAACATATAAGAGTAAAGAAACTGAGATTCACTGAGCCGGGTAACATAGTGGATATATATAAATATATTTATACGTTTGGTGCGGGCCGATTGCAACCAAAATACGAGGTGCACATCTAAATGTTATAGCAGTCCTATATACAAAATTTCAACGTTCTGAGGCTACTCGTTTTTGAGTTGAGTTATGCGAGATACGTACGTACGTACGCACGTACGTACATACGTTCGTACAGACGCGACGAAAAATTCTCTTCAGAATTAATTTTAAAGCAGTTTTATAATTTTTTTTGAAGGAAAAGAGTATTTTATTCTGTCCTTACGTACAGATATCACGCGAAACCATCGTTAAATTGCATTCGATAGCGGTCAAAATGGATATTTTCGTTGAAATATGCTGCCTGAATCTTTTCGCGATTACAATACTTCCTTTTTACTTCGTACAAGGAAGTAAAAAGGTATTTGTAAGAACTGTGTTTATTGCTTTTAAGTCACTTAGTTTATTACTTAGTAAACTCTTTAGGATTAAATTCGAAAGTACTTTGGACTTTATTGCATGGCTACACGCTGGCGCGTAGAAGATAAAAGTATTTTATTTCTGGCCGCTGCAGCATATTGTTTTCTCAGAGCCGAGTTTGTTAATTAAAATTAAAAGATACGTATCTTACATTTTTTCGAATGGCCATTGTCTCACGCGCTAGAGATAAAAAGTTTTAATTCGAACAGTGTTGCCACTGCTCGCTTGCAGATCTTTGAGTTTGTTAAACAAGTACAATTACAATTTTATTGTACTTTTTCAATTGCTATTTTATTAATATAATTTTTACAGATTTAATTTTATTAAAAGTAATACAATTACTATTTTATTGTACTTGTAATAGGACAATAAATATGCTACGATTTGTGATTCCAAGTTATTACTTCGAAGATTATTTTGTTGTCACTGTTCATATAATTACTTTCTTGTACGAAGTAAAGGAAGTATTGTAATCGCGAAAACTATATATGTATATATAAAAAACGAAAATATCCATTTTGACCACTCTCGAATCTATTTGAACGATGTTTTTGCTTGAAATCTCTATGTATGGACAGAATAAAGGATTCTTTTTTCCAAAACGGATGGTAAAATTGATTTCAAATGGATTGAGAAGAGATTTTTTTTGGTTACGTCTATACGTACGTGCGTATGTACGTATCTCGCATAATTAAAGAAGCATAGCCTTGGAATGTTATATATGTATATATATATACCGCCCACACTGTAAATAGCCGAGTAACAGAGTGGATCTTTCTCTCTCTGTACATTTATTTATTACACCGAGCGAGTAATCCATTATAATTGTTGCTGGCTTGGTGAGCTCGGGTTTTTCATTGCTATATGTTGTGAAATTGTGCATTTTTTGCTTTGAAAGTGACTGAATTATGTTGTTCTTATGCTCCGGTTAAGAATTTTATGCATTCAAAGTTGTTAAAGTACTACTAAATCTAACGAAGCCTCCATTTTTTACATATGAAACTCTTAGTAGAACAGGGAGATAAGTCAGTGTCTGTACCAACTGCAGCGTCTTTATGTCGCGTGGGATCAAAAGCAAACTTTCGTACTGTGCACAGAGAAATCTGTCTTCTTGCCCGCTACCGAATGAATTGCTTGTTTTTGTGTAGAAAACTCTAATTCTAGGTGTTGTGTGTTTTAAATTTTTTAAGGAATATGTTATGAGATTTTATCTATGTTTGCCTTGCCGCGAAGAGAGAAAATTAAATTTGAATGGAAAATATATCTCTAATGAAATTTGAGGAAATAACTTTAAACGAAATGCAGCAAAAAATGTGTAATAATTTAATAGGCCGTACAAGAAAATCATGTGGGGACTACGTTATTTTTTTTGGTATTGCATGCATTTGCCATTTTACTTTTAAAGGAAAAATCTAATACGACTCTGAACCCTCATAAGATAAATTAATTCTACGAAAATCAGAGCCTTTTATTCCCCTCTTGCAAGACACATTTTATTCGAGAGTTGCGCTGTCAGAAATGCATCGCAGTTGCATTTCTTCTAAAAATTTCACCTCTTCCAAATCTTCACTTTCTGTGGAAAACTTTCTAGTACCTAAATTTTTCAGAAGATTATGCCTTTTCTGCTGCTTAAGTACAGTTTGTCGAATATTTCGCTGTCTAGAGACCTAGTACGAAGGGGAAAAAAATTTGAATTCCTCTGAGATAGGGAGAAAAAAAGGTCTTTCTGGAGCCCTGATCACGAAAAGGACAAAAGAAAAAGTTTTCTAGTTTTTTGACAGATGTCGATATTTTTGTCAGATTGCATCATGTCCAGTTGAAGATGACGGAAGATTGTTTTCTTTCTTGCAGTGTGCGGGTTCATCTTTCAGAGCGACGACAGAAGTAATGGTACTTTTACATCTCCCAACTTCCCCGGTTTCTACCCCCGTGACACAGAGTGCCACTATTTCTTCCACGGAAGGCCCAAAGAAAAGGTCCACATTACCTTCAACAAGTTTGACGTCGATGGAATTCCTCCGTAAGTTTTTTTTTTTTTTTACTTTGTTTGCGCATATTGTTATATCATTGATTAAAATGTCCCAATATTTATTTTTAGGTAACGTATCCGCATTTAATATAACACACAATAATAATGATATGTTATCCAAAATGGAAACAAAAAATAATAATGATATGTTATCTAAACAATAATAATGATACGTTATCCAAAATGGAAACCGAAGTAAACAGTAATAATGATATGTTATCCAAAATGGAAATAAAAATTATCGATATATTAACTAAACAATAATAATAAGTTATTCAAAATTAATAATGATATGTTATCCAAAATCGAAATAAAAAATAGCGATACGTTAACTAAACAATAATAATAGGATATTCAAAATGGAAAACGTAGTAAACAATAATAAAGATACGTTATCCTAAACAATAATAATGATACGTTATCCAAAATGGAAACCGTAGTAAACAGTAATAATGATATGTTATCAAAAATCGAAATAAAAAATAGCGATATGTTAACTAAACAATAATAATAGGTTATTCAAAATGGAAAACGTAGTAAACAATAATAATGATATGTTATCCAAAATGGAAATAAAAAATAGCGATATGTTAACTAAACAATAATAATAGGTTATTCAAAAGGTAAAGTGTATTAAACAATAATAATGTTATCCAAAATGAAAGCGTAGTAAACAATAATAATGATCGCTAACCACTATCCCGTGAGCGGCGTCATACACTATAAAATGTATACCGAGATAAACATAACAAAGCAATTAAGATCTGATAGATCAATTAAAGATAAAATTCCTTTGATGTCTTATTTCCTTTACGTTACATTTATAGGGAAAATGTGACATATTTAATACAAAAGATTTTTTCGTTTTAATCCTTCGTGGTGTAATTGAAAATATGTCCACCTAGCTATCGAGTCTGGAGTTCGAATCTCGTTTTTGGTTTTTAGTGTTTCTTTATCCAAGAAAAGCTCTAAGAATTACAAGTAGGGCCAGAACTAAAACGTAGTAGTCATTAATTCGTCCCACCTGGACTTGGAGATTAGATCTCCTCCTCCTCAGAAGCTCTTTAAGAGAAGGACAGTGTCAGAAATTTTCTTCTTCCTTTCCGTGTGACTTCGTAGTGTAATTAGAAGCACGTCCGGCTTGCAATCGAGAGATCCCGGGTTCGAATCCTGGAAAAAGCATCATTGATTTTTTGCGTTTCATACTCACAAGTAATTTTAATCACTAGGCAGATCGACAAAATTCAAAGTTTCTTTTGCCTAGATAACTATTCAGCTTCTAAGCATTAATTTTTTATTAAGCATAATGTCTCAAAAATTAAATAATTTTGCGACAGTTTTGGTGATTCAGAAGCAAGATGATTGTCGCTGGCTGCGTTGCATAGGACAGAGTTACAGCATATTTTTCGACAATGTAGTTTTAGCAGCAGACACAACTCGACGTCCAGTATATTTAACAATAAGTTTACTATTATCAGTGGTAACCGGATTATAAATAAAACGTTTGTTACCTAAACTACCTCTTGATTTAAAATATTAGTAATTTTATTAATAGTAAAATCATTATTGACCAACAAATATAAGATATGTCTATAGCTACACTTAGTGCAACTCGAAAACTTAGTTACTATTGTTCAGTCCCGGTTGTAACAAAATTCTGCAGTACTGCAACCGTCTATTGTGTAACATTCTAAGGTTCCATTCTTCACTTCCCGAACATTCTGACGAACGCATGTTTGAATATAATTATGCTTAATACAATTAATACGAAAAAAGTAAAATGCACATTTTTCGCAGTATTGTTATTGTGACTTATCTCAAATGCCTGACAGTAACATCACAACAAGCCTTCGAAACTCATCGCGGCGAGGAGAGCAGGATTGTGCCTATCGTTGGCAACAGCCTTGAGCACCTTACAGGTAAAAGAACGACTTCGTTCAGGTCTGCCCCCAGTTTTGACGGAAAGCACTCGGAGAAACAGCTCCGAGGGACTCCCACCCCTCTTTCTCTACCCCAACCTCTCGAGAGGACTTTCGGCTCGCCATATAGTTAGAGTGCCCGCAAGCCGCAAAGATACTATACATTTAAAAATATCCAAGCCTTCACCGAAATTCGAAACTGGGTCTTTTGTTACCGCAAGAGGCTCCCCTAACCGCTATACCGTCTGGGCGTTTATTTTGTTCACACTCATTGTATTGAGTTTAATAATGAGTATTGTCAAACTCAGAAATAGCATTGAAAATATAAAAAATTGCTATAATTTTAGTTCCGGAATAAATACTTATTAGTTCCGGAATAAATACTGCTGCATGTTCCAGAATAAATACTTATTAGTTTCAGAATAAATACTGCTGCATGTTCCAGAATAAATACTGCTGCATGTTCCAGAATAAATATTTATTAGTTCCAGAATAAATATTATTTCCAGAATAAATACTATAGTTCCAGAATAATACTGCATTTTCCAGAATAAATATTTATTAGCTCCAGAATAAATATTATTAGTTCCCATTAAATCCCTTATGTTCAGGAATAAATTATGAGTTCCAGAAAAATACTGCTGCATGTTCCAAAATCAATACTTATTAGTTCCGGAATAAATACTGCACTAGCATGTTCCAGAATAAATTCTGCACTAGCAAAGACACATTTGAAAATACGAAAATAATAATTATTCAGGGACAGGTTTCACAACTTTTTCACCGAGATAAAGTTTAAATTTTCTGTTCAACTTCATGGGCGAGATCCTTCTCTAAAGAATTCGCAAAAGAAAAGGAAGAAATATTCAGAATTTCCCGAAACTGTGAACTTGAAAAAGCTTAAATAAAATATTCTAAGATGATTTCGAAAGTCTCCAAGTTTGATAATTTTATTTCCAAATGCCACATATTTATTACCAAATTAAAAAAATTTCGAGAAGAGTTTTTTAGATTCTTCCACATTTGTTTCCACAGGTACAAATGAATGAAGGAATTATATAAAACGATTCCACTATATAAAAATCTCATAAGCTAAGATGTTATGAGGAAAGCGTACATGTAAGCTCAAAATATTAGCGAAAAATAAATAAATTATGAAACATAAAAAGGAAACATGCAGATATTTCCACAAATTTACAAGAAACCAAAATAAAGAAAAGTTCTTAATTTACAGCGATACAAAATAAATGCAAATAAATATTTAAAACTAATTACTGCCGTATTCAGTTACATAATTTTATTCAAAGTTTGAATATTATTTTGACACGCTTTAATGCAGGAAAATTAACTATTTTGAAACTTTTCATAAATCATCCTATTGACAAAACTTTTATCTCCCCCTAAAAAAAAGTGAAAACTTATTTCTTTCTAATAAAAAATTATACAAGATTTGAAATCCTTTATCTCCTCCTAAAAAAGCGAAAATTAATTTCCCTCTAATAAAAATTTACGTAAGATTTAATATTCCTTTATGTCATCCTAAAACAACCGAAAACTAATTTCCTTCTAATAAAAGATTATCTAAGATTTGAAATTCTTCGTCTCCAAATAAAATCGAAAACTAATTTCTTTCTAACAAAATATTCTGTAAGATTTAAAACACTTTATCTCCTTATAAAAAAGCGAAATATAATTTCCTTTTATTAAAAAATTATGTAAGATTTAAAATACTTTACCTTCTAAAAACCGAAAACTAATTTCTTTCCAATAAAATATTACGTAAGAATTGAATTTTTTTTCTCTTCTGTTAAAAACGGCGAAAGCTAATTTCTTTCTAATAAAAAATTACGTAAGATTTAAAATCTTTAATGTCTTTCTAAAAAAACCGAAACCTTATTTCCTTCTAGTAAAAAAATTATGTAAGATTTGAAATCATTATCTTTTATTAAAGCTAAAACTAATTTCTTTTAATAAAAAATTATGAGTTTAAAATACTTAATCCGTCTAAAAAAGCTAAAATATTTTTTTCTAACATAAAAAATTATGTAAGATTTAAATACTTTAATTCCCTAAAAAAGGCTAAAACTAATTTCTTCCTAAAAAAACTTTTAGATTTTCTTCTAAAAAAAAAGCTAAACTAATTTCTTTCTAATAAAATTTAATTTCCTTCTAAAAAAGCTAAACTATTTCTTTCTAATAAAACTTATGTAGATTTAAATACTTTAATTTGTTTTTTCCTTAAAAAAGCTAAAACTAATTTCTTCTAATAACAATTATGTAAGATTTAAATACTTTAATCTTCTAAATGAGAAAACTAATTTCTTTCTAATAAAAAATTATGTAAGATTTAAAATACTTTAATTCCTTCTAAAAAAAGCGAAAACTAATTTCTTTCTAATAAAAAATTATGTAAGATTTGAAAGCCTAGCTGTTATGTACTGTGAGAAAATAAAAAAATCTTCACTTTTAATATACATTCCGTAATGAAGCTTAACCAATTCTCGGAAAACAACTCTAGTAGGCATGTTAAAACATAATTATGCGTAATGTTTTTCGTTCTAATGTTCGAATTGGATGCCTCCAGTTTATCATGATTATCATTTCACGTGACACGATGTTCTCGAGTGCCACGTACCACAACCGTAGACTCATAAACATGTGTCCTATAAAGCTCCACTACTATAAATTACGTTGCGCAGATTGATGCTTACATTAACGAAACTTAAATTACAGCTCTGGGCATACGTGTTATGCTATCAGGAATGCGTGTTATGTCCACATGAAAATACAACTCAACCGAGATCCCGTCTTTTTTCTTTTGCAACAAGCTAATATCGGGCGTTGGCTTATGTGATTCATGCGTTTACAAATCTCACATAAATGTAATTACATTAATGGCAATCAGTGCTTCATGTAAGTGGAATACTGTTGCTTTTCGCAATATTTTCATGCACGACTTTGTGTTACATCAAATGCTGTATGCTCGTAAAGATGCCTATTGCATCAATAACATATACTATTGATGTATGTATATGTTAGCACACTCGGCGGGTATTCCATAGGTCCACGTTC